GCCTACCCAGCTGGTCATTAGGGCAGAGAACTGGTTGGTAAATTATTTGAATCCCACCACTGCACCAAATTATGCAATGGTAGGGTGTGGAAGTATCTTCAATGTGTTCGTAAAAACTATTGTTTTGAAACAAGCATTCCCTTTAACAGATCTTTGATTTGACTTGTATTTAAAGGTAGAAAAGGCCATGATTTCCTCTTGCTATTGCCATCCAATCAATTAAACATCACTAAAGGTAAAGGTAAAGGTTCCCCTCGCACATATGTGCTAGTCGTTCTCGACTCTGGAGGGTTGTCCTCATCTCCATTTCTAAGCTGAAGAGCCAGTGCTGTCCGAAGATGTCTCCGTGGTCATGTGGATGGCATGACTAAACGCCGAAGGTGCACGGAGCTCTGTTACCTTCCCACCAAAGTGATCCCTATTTTTCTACTTGCATTTTTTACATGCTTTCAAACTGCTAGGTTGGCAGAAGCTGGGACAAGCAATGGGAGCTCACTCCAATTTGTGGTGCTAGGGATTCAAACTGCTGAACTGCTGACCTTCTGATTGACAAACACAGCGCCTTACCCCTGAGCCACCTCATCCCTTAAAGGTCACTACACTAGTGTAAACGAAAGTGCAAATTTTCTTCCTATTTTTCCTTAGAACCAAATAAATGCCATAAACTTCTTCCTTATCCAACTTGCCTTTTGAAAAAAAATTAATAATAGAAACAATGAAATTGCAAGCTGGTGAAATGGGAATTTTAGATCTAATGCTGTCCAACTAATTCATTTTCTGATTAACTAACTGAGGTTTTAATCAATTAGATTCATGGTTAAGTTTATGAAAATTTTCTTACATAGCTGATAATTTACTTTCCTTCCTTTCAATTCTGGAATTTAAAATGACATATAATAATATGGTTACATTAAACAATTTCTCTCTCTCTCACTCTTCCCTGCTCCCTGCCCCCTAGATTAAAGAATTAAATCCTGTTTGAAAGATAGCAAAGTCTTTAGAACAGATAGACAATTTGGGAATCAATAGATGGATAGAAACGGAGTTGCCTATTTCTTCTTGGATCTCAGGAGGAAGTCACAGGCTTGTGACTTAATTTTTATCATACTTTTTACCATGTTAGAACACCAAACAATTAAGGTCCTGAAATAAAGATCCTTTTCTTAGGTGAATTTCCAACAATAATTTTTGGATGAATTACAAGCCTTATTATAAATTCTCTAGGGAAGGGTATATTAAATTATTATGCAGATAAACAACTGAGTGACAATACAATAACAATCAATTTGACTTGTATAGCACTTACAACATAACAAACTGAGTTATAAAACTAAAATTGTATAATGAAATAATGAGGACAAGACAAGTGATCAATGTATGTGTCAGGCCTGCATTTATATTCCTTTTAGAATTTTGGCCTGCCACACTTTCTCTTATTTCATTATGCTGTTTCNCCTGAGTCCTCCCGGAGAAGGGCGGCATACAAATAATAAAATTCTATTCTATTCTATTCTAGTTAACTCCACCGATTCCTTCATATATATATTTTTTTTCATTACTTCTTCCTTTCCTCTCTTTAGGGGCCTATCAATGTGCTAAATGCGGTTCTGAGCATGGTGTGCCCTTTAAATGCCAGCAGTGTTCCTTCACGTGTTGCAACAAATGTTGGGAGAATTCCTTGAAGGTTAGCTTTCATTTTCATTTTTCCCTTTGCCTCAACGGATTTATTTTTGTGTATTTATTTATTTGCATCCTGCTTTTATCATTTTTACAAATAACCTCGGGGCAGCCAACATACCCAACCCACTTTCCTCTTCCTATTTTCCCTACAACAACCCTGTTAGGAGAGAGTAACTGGTCCAAAGTCATCCAGCAGGCTTTCATGCCTAAGGGGAAACCAGAACTCCCAGGCTCCTGGTGATTGGGCCAAAATCATCCAGCTGGCTTTTATGCCTAAGAGGAACTAGACCTCACAGTCTCCTGGTGATTGGTCCGAAATCACCCCGATGGCTTTCATTCTAAGATGAGACTAGAACTCCCAGTCTCTTGGTGGCTAACCCAAAATCAACCAGCCAGCTTTCATGCCTAATGCAGGACTAGAACTCACTATCGCCTGGTGACTGGCCCAAAGTCACCCATCCAGCTTTCGTGCCTAAGGCAGGACTAGAACTCACTATCTCCCACTTTCTAGTCTGGAGCTTTAACCACTAGATTCACCAAATTGCCTGTTCTTAAAGCCCAGCAGAATTTCCTTTGCTGTCTTTCTACAGTTGATTCGTACAGTGCATTTTCCCTCCTTTGTTGGAAGAAATATCCTTCTGGGCTCAGTTCCAAGTGGGGAAAAAGAAACTGGAAACATGGCAGCTGCTTGGAAAGATGGTTTTAATAGTGGACAGGACCACATGGCTTGAGCTCCTGGAGAAAAAGGGGATCACATGCCTTGAAGATCTTGAAGAAAAAGGGCAGCGATGCTGAGAGTCCCTTGGTTTTTATGCCTCTCTGGGCTCCACCTTAGAGTTTCCTGTTCCTGTAGAAGAAATGTATCCCAGGGGCTGGGGGTCTTCGCTAACTTTGTAGGCCGACTGTGTCCAGACCTGGCTGAATATGTCGCTGGTTGATGATGTAGTGAAAGGGCTTTGGGATTCCTATTATTGCTCTACTTAAACGAGGTAGAACTTTGTTATGTAGAATAGACTGACCCAGGTCTTAATGGCCCACTGACCGGGGAGGGATGTGTGTGAGTTTCTGCCTACCTTTTAGGGGAAATATTCTGCCCTTTTAATATTTCCTAAAATATCTCATTTTCTAGGAGAGGGGTTTGCACCTTGTATGTGACTTGACCATCTTCTTGCAATTGAGGTCACACGCCACTGACAAGAGGCTTGATCCATGACAAGTTCGGTTTGGTTAAAGGTAGCCATGTGGCCCAATCCATGCACCGAAAGAAGCCTTTTGCTCTTTTGGTTTCCAGCTGGTCTTCGTGGGCACCAGAGCACCGGAAAACAGCCTGAAAACAGCCCGAAAAGTGGCCAAAAACCATGCTGTTTTTAGGGCGGTTTTCAGACCATTTTCATACCATTTTAGTCCTGAAAGTGGCCCCAAAACACTCTGAAAATGGCCCCTAAAACAGGCCCCCATGTGGAAGCCAGCTGGTCTTCAGATTTCCGGTGCCCCAGAGCTCGCATATGCGCACTTGCACATACGTTCTGGTTTGGGCACTCGGTGCCAAAAAGATTCACTATCACTGATATAACCTATTATCTATTTCCTTAAAACAGGGCGAACAAAAACAACACGGAGCATCAAACCTCAAGTTGGTTTAACCATATTTCCAAATGGCCACCGAGTTTGTTTGTTTTTTCTGGGAAGGGATGTGATTCAGACGAAGTGGCTTAGTGGGAGGCCAAAGGCAATAAAAATGGCTCTGGTGACGCCAGGAAATCTTTACCTCCTACTAAAGGAAACCCAAACAATGTTGAGAAGGAAAACGGCAGCCCACAACTCAAGTGGTCACTTTGCCTTTTTGGCTGGATGCAATTTGGGAATTTGTGGGGTATTTCATACGAGAAACTATCCTGAATTTTATAGATTGTAAGAGTGCGGATCCAGGAAACCAAAGTAGACATAACATTACATTCAAATGACTCTTTGATGTTTATCATCCTTAACCAGAAACCCACAGAGGTTGGTACGTGATCAGAATAACCTCCTTCCCTCTGGTTGGTCTAAAGTTCTTTTTACACCAAGCTAAGGCTGGTTTAGAATGAGTGGGTGCCCTGGGAATGCAAGGATTTTTCAGGCATGGCTTCCTGATCAAGATAAGCAATTGCAAGAGGTCGGACCATAAAGTCAGCACCTTATCTACTGTTCTTGTCCGTACAAGTTAAACAGAGGCTACTTCAAAAGCAGATCAGAGGTGCCACCCGCTTTGCACAAGTATTTGGAGGTTGGAGTTAGTGCCAAATGCAGCAAGTAGGGATCACCAGGTCCTTGTATTCACTGGTATTTATTAAATAGCAATAGCCCTTAGACTTATATACCGCTTCACAGTGCTTTCGCAGTCCTAAGTTGTTTACAGAGTCAGCCTGTTGCCCCCAACAATCTGGGTCCTCGATTTACCTACCACAGATACGTGATAAATGACGGAGTCCTTGGTGGTCTCTGGGCTTTGTTGTTTCCTTGCAGTTAGACAATTAGGCAACAATGTCAGTGCTAGAAGGGGGAGGGGTTTGCAGAGAGGGGGAGGACTGTGGGGTCCTTGGTGCTCTCTGAGCTTGGTTGTTTTCTTGAAGACAGTTCATGCCCCAAGTGGATAACATCATCAGTGCTACGGTAGAAGGGGATGGGATTTGCAGAGAGGAAGAGAAGGGAAGTGGGAAGAGGAGGAGGACTGTGGAATCGTTGGTGCTCTCTGAACTTGGCTGTTGTCTTGCAGACGTTTGTTGACTCAATTAGGCAACATCATCAGGGCTAGAAGGGAGAAGAGTTTGTGTCTCTTTTTATATACAATAGCTTGTCATGGTGGCACAGTGGTCAGAATCAGTGGTGGGATTTTAAAAAATTTACTGCCGGTTGTGTGGGTGTAGCTTGGTGGGCATGGCAGAAGGGAAGGATACTATAAAATCCCCATTCCCTCCCCACTCCAGGGGAAGGTTACTGCAAAATCCCCATTCCCTCCCGATCCGCTGGGACTCAGAGAATAGGTGGTGGCAGGGCCAGTCAGAGGTGGCATTTACCGGTTCTCCGAACTACTCAAAAGTTCCGCTACCGGTTCTCCACAACTGGTCAGAAGCTGCTGAATATCATCTCTGGTTAGAATGCAGTATTGCAGGCTACTTTTGCCGACTGACTGCTGCCAGCTGCTCAGCAGTTCGATTCTGTCGGGATCAAAGTTGACTCAACCTTCCATCTTTCCAAGGTCAATAAAATGAGGACCCAGATTCTTGGGAGCAATATGCTGACTCTAAGCTACTTAGAGAGGGCTATAAGGCACTGTGAAGTGATAAGTCTAAATGCTATCGCCCTATCAGTATTGGTAGAATTATTCTTGGTACACTGCAGGGGTGGGTTTCTCCCGGTTCGCACTGGTACGCCAGAACCGGTTNCTGCCAAACCACACAGTTGGCTGCACACCATCAAAGTTGACACCATCCAGAGCACAGAACAACTCAAAAAAAAATAGTGCAAGATCGGAAAATGTGGAGAATAGTGGCCTACAGAATTCCCAAGAGTCAAACATGGCTGAATGGATAATACCATCATCATCATCAGTGCTAAAAGGGAGTTAGAACCGCGGCGTATAATCTAGCACAGTGTTTTCTCAGCTAGTAGATGGGTAGACTTCAACTCCCAGAATCCACCAACCAAGCAGGGGATTCTGGGAGTTGAACTCTGCCCATCTTCAAGCTGCCAAGATTGAGAAACACTGCACTAAACCATTCTTGAACCAGCAGCCACCTAAGTCCTGTTGGAAAATCTCCAGCAAAGAACAGGTTCGTCATTGTTCTTGGAAGTCCATTTCACTGTTTAAAAATGGTGTTTTAAATTTCTCAGGAACAGATGATTCACTTAGTAAAAACCTCTTAAGAGATAAGAGAGAGGGAGGGAGGGGGAGAGATATTGTGGTCGTAAGTCGAGGACTCTAGCTCTCAAAGCCACGTAAATCTAAATACGGAGTTTAGGAAGCACAGTGGAGAGAAACAAGTTAGCCTTACACCTGGGTGTAAACAATAACCCGAGAAGTGTTCCTTGTTTTATGTGGGGAGTAGGATTCACATCTTAATGCAGAAGATTCTTAAAGCAAATTTAAAGGTACAAACCAGAGGCTTTTCTTTTAGGCTTAATGGGCACAGAACTTGGGGGAAAAAAACAATTTGGAACTTTGTTGTTAGACGTGCTGACAGCAGCAAGAAGGCTCCAAAAAATGTTTTAATTCCTACAAAGGATGGACCGGCTGGAAAAACCAGTCATCCTTTGTAGGAATTAAAAGATCCTAAAATGACGGTATTAGCAGAGATGGCTAAATGAAGTGTCCTAATAAAAGAAAATAATACAGCTAACTTGGTTTCCACTTGGAAGCCACTTCTGGACTTTAGGCTTCAGGTGGGGGTTAGGGGGGAATGAAACTTTCGATATAAGTTTTGCTGATTAAACAGGCTGTTGTTATAGGAATGGCTAGTAGATACTACAGGTAGTCCTCAATTTACAACAGTTCATTTGGTGACAGTTCAAAGTTACAACATCNCAGGAGACTGTGAGTTGTAGCCCCATCTTAGTCATGAAAGCCGGCTGGGTGACTTTGGCCCTTTTTATCTCTCTCAGCTCAATCCACCTCACAGGGTGGGGGAAAATAGGAAGGCAGGATACAAAGAAATAATGTGTACTTTAGTTTGCTGTTTTAAACAGGAGAGGCCTCAAAAGATGACCGAAAACGGCTTCAGCACAAGGATCAAAAGGTAAAATGCCATCCTTTCACTGCTCTTGTGTTTCCCCACACAGCTTGCCAAAAAGTGCCCAGAATGCCAAGCGGATACCAAGAGAAGACACTTGGCCATATCTTACTGGCCGGATTCCCCCGTGAAAGACACATAGAGTGAACACATGAACTGCTCAACCGCATCTACAGACTCTTGTGTGGAAGAGGAACAACAAAAGTTGTCAGCTTTCCCAGCTCCCCCCCCCCCCTTGAGGTTCCTCTTCTCTTAAGAGAAGCCACCATGGTCTTCAATGTTACCATTCCCCAGATATTTGAGTCACTCAAGTGCTCCTGTCAGTTTCAGTCAATCCAGAGGCATTTAAATCAGAGTTAACATTTTATTATCTTTTTCTAATGATGCCCTTTGCAGTGAGGCCGGGTACCACAAAGCCTATTGTCTTTATTATGAGAAAATTAAAATACGGACTTTTGTAATATGGACTCTGCCTGGCGTTTTCTATTCTGATTCTCCAAAGAATCACCGTTTACACACACACACACACACATATAATATTTGTGCTGATAAATAAAGGGAGACTAGTATAGATGTATTTCAAGCTATTTAGCTCTCATCAGCTAGCCATACCCTTACTGGGATTCAAACCTGTGGTATATTACATCTTAGGCAAATGTCTTAGCCATTAAGCCACAAGTTCTCCTTATCAACTGAAGCCAGGGAAGAAGGTATGTATTTAGTGTCACAACCCCTGGTAAGCCCCAATTATGGGAGNAAGGAAGGAAGGAAGGAAGGGGGAGAGATACACACAGGAAAGGAAGAGATACACACAAGAAAGGAAGGAAGGAATGGAGGGAGAGTGAGAGAAAAGAGAGAAAGAGACAAAGATAGAAAGAGAAAGAAAAAAGAAGTGGGAGAGAGAGAAGAAAGAAAGAACAAAAGAAAGAAAGAGAAAGAGGGGGAGAGAGACAAAAGGAAGGAAGGAAAGAAAGAGTGAGTGAGAGAGAGAGAAAGAAAGAAAAAGAAAGACAACTTATGACCACAATTGAGCACAAAATTTTGGTTGCTAAACAAGAGCATTGTTAAGTGAGTTTCACCACATTTTCCAAGTTGGCCATGCCCACACGGTCACATGTCCACCAAGCCACGCCCACCCAGTCACATGACCACCAAGCCACTCCCATAAAACAGGCCACACCTACAGAATAGGTTCTAAAAATTTTGAAACCCACCACTGGTACACTGCTGCTTACTGCTTGATTGTCTGAGTTGGTAGTTCCTTGATTGGGGTATTGGGCAAGCCACTGGTATATAAACAGGGGTCCACTCTTTTCTAGCACTGATGATGTTACCTGCTTGAGTCACGAAGCGTCTGCCAAAAAGCAGCCAATCTCAGAGAGCACCAGGGACCTCACAGTTCGACCCGGAGTTATAAACATGCTCTTCTACTTCTTAACTAAAACATATTATGGCTGCTTACACCAATAGGCATTGGAGGACAGGGCCTCTCTCTGCCTCTCCCACTACAAGCCCCTCTGATCGTTAATGCCTGCCAGAAAAGTGGTCTTGAAGATGCTGCTATTGATGGTCCTTCTGGCATATAAAAGAAGGTCCTTTACTCCTGTTCTCAGGCTACAGAATTCATTCTTCATCACGTAGGATAAATGCCATAAATGTCATCCTTTGTCGGTGGTTTAGTCATGAGATTAAAGTAAATATTTTGAACATTAGAATTTAAACTTTGGCGGCCACCTTCATTGCGCGTCAGATCGCTAGATAAATGAACCCAAGAGAAGAGAACCTCTGGCTGAGGTTTAGAATTTTTAATTGTTGATGAGACTTTGGAAAGAGTGCGGAGAAGAGCAACAAAGAGGATTAGGGGCCTGGAGGCTAAAACATATGAAGGACGGTAGCAGGAATTTGGTATGTCTAGTTTAATGAAAAGAAGGCCTGGGGAACACAATAGCAGTCTTATAATATTTGAGGGGCTGCCAGAAAAAAGATGGGATCATTTTATTTTCCAAAGCACCCCGAAGGCCAGACAAGGAAGAATGGATGGAAACTGGTCAAGGAGAAATTCAACCTAGAAATTAAGAGAAGAACTTTTCTGACAATGAGAGCAATCGACCTGGAGGCTTTGAAAAAGAGATTGGACAGCCACTTGTCAGAAATGGCATTGGTCTCCTGCTTGAGCAGGGGGTTGGACTAGATGACCTACAAGGCCCCTTCCAACTCTTGGCGCTCTCTGAGCTTAGCGGTTTGTTTGTAATTGCCCTGTTCTACTGTTATACAGAAATGTCTGCAAGCAAGCCACCAAGTTCAGAGAGTACCAAGGATTTCACGAATAAATGAGACCTTCATGATTTTGACATCTTAAGATCTCTCATCTTTTCCCCATTGTTTTTAGTATCCAGGCCCTTGTTTAAACATCTTATTTCTCCATAAACATAGCTGATTTCCTCAGTGATGTCCTAAAATATATATGTACGGCCAGATCACTGGTGGGTTTCAAAAATTGTTCGAACCTACTCTGTGGGTGTGGCCTCCTTTGTGGGAGTGGCTTGCCACCCATGTGACCGGGTGGGAGTGGCTTGCCACCCATGTGACCG